CGTTGTCCGCCTGTACTTTCCATCTATTATATCTAAAGATCTATGTACGGTATGGGAGTTATGGCCCAAACCACCACCTCTTCTGCGAACAAGCGTGGACTCAGGATTCGCTGGGTTGCTCTATCTGTTACGATTCGTTCAATACAGCGCAATATGAGCAGCTCAGTGAACTGCCTCATTATGTGCCGCGCGCGACTGCGCGGCAAATGACAAACTCCGTTTCCGTGAAAGTGCCTCTGGAAAGCCAGGCCAGCCGGCGAAGCCGGGCTTCAGAGAAAAGGAGGAGAACTCGGCGTGAGCCGGGCGATCCGACTGGTAGTGAAAATGAGGTGTGTTTGGACGAGTTATTACCTGATGGTATCACAGCCATATCAGTTCATAAACACTCCATTTCACCACTTGTGATGGAAGGACCTGGTTGGTGGCACAGTCGCGTCATCAGGAAGCTTTCAAAGATGAACGCTGGGTGTAACATAACGCGATGAAAGGCGCAAAGTCTTCGTCCCGAGTGCCCAGGGTCCTTATCGCGTATTTTTTAGTCCTCTTTGCTCGAGTCTCTTGTCCAACGAAGGCGTCTGCACATCAGATGGACGCACAAAGGTGCCTTTGATCCTGAAAAGCGTTGATCCCTTCTTCCATGCACTCGTGAAATGACATCATGGGCCTTTTGTTTTCAGCCAATCAGCATAAGACCGCCTACTCCGTGGTGAAGACTTCCAGTCAGGCATGTATCAAGAGAATCCGCGTTCTGCCACGTTGATGGGCGTGGCCAGCGATGTCGCCTGCCGCATGCGGCAAATGGAACTTCACAGCCGCGAATGTGCTAGTCTGCTGTCGAATTACTTCATTAGTAGAGTTCCTGAACAGGAGAGATCCGTGAGAGGTGTTGACTTGCTTTCGCTGTGGAACATCTGCCTTGAACTGCCTCATTATGTGCCGCGCGCGACTGCGCGGCAAATCACGACTGCCTTGACCGTCTCCACTTCTGGTCAGCGTTCTTGCTGATCTGGTTTCTCGTTTTCGCAGAGACCATCATCAGATGAACCTTTTAGCAGAATCACGAGCACAGGTCAAGAAGGGGCCAATGAGCTATTCCATGGCACTTTGTAATACGCCTGGTTCAAATCTTGAGTCTGAGCAGCCTATACTAACCTTTTGCCGACTAGGCGGGAGGTCCAGATGGTAGCGTGCAGGCGCAACAGTGGGACAGGCTTTCTGAGAGTGGAGTAGCATAAGAAGGAAAGGGGAACTCACCGCTGTGGTAGATAGAACCGCTTGATCCGCAGGATCGTTCCAAGAATGAGACGCACCTCTCTGCAGAATCGACTTCAACCACTTTTGAAGTGATATCGGCCTCTGATATCACTAACCGGTTCATCACGTTGAACGTGTAACTGCTGAAAGGTTGCTGCATAAAATACGCTAACCATAAGCTGATGTTCATAAGGCAGAAAGCTCCCATGGTGCTGGGATGGTTATCTGGCTAGCCTGGGAGCCTGGTCAACATGAAGTGCATCTCGTGTCAATTCTATGTGCACAGGTCAACATTTCTCTGTTGCGATGACAGCGAAGTTCTTCGAGAAAGGAACAGCCTTTTTATCGTCAATATTCGGTGATTTGGTGT